TGGTGGAATCAAGATAGAGTAGACATCGATTTTTCGCTTAGATCTACCCTTGGTGACTCAATTTCCTGGTGAAAATTCTGAAATGTCTCGCAACGTTGGTCTCTGTGTGCGTGGTCAACGTGCCCCGTATTTTGGCAGCCTTGCGGGCACGGTTTGCAGCGAGGCCATTCAGCGGGGCCCCTGCCGAGGCTCATCTGGCAGGCTGGTGCCATGTCCGCGCGACAAAGCCTCACGGACGAACATCATGCCGCTCCAACGACTGGAGAAGTCTCGACGGACTTGAATGGCGCCCATTCCCTCCCGCATGGCTATTGTCAAATAACAGTTGGATGAGCATAGGGTAGAGCTTGCAGGTGGAAATCCTTCTCCGGCACGGGCTGATGGTCTGTTCCGGCCATCCAATGCGGGACGATGCGGGACGGAACACCCATTTCCCGTCTTCAACGCCGTGTCTACGGCAGGACTCAGAAATCCTGGGATAGAGGCGGCGTTGACCTCTCCCCGACCGCCTATCATGAGTTGACGTATGTATGCATGTGCATGTCAGCTGGAGGAACATGGCCATATATTATGAGAAGAGCAGATGTGAGGGGGAAGCTGTTGGACAATACTTCGTGCGCTTTCCAATCTTTAACGACCTTCGCTAGCCAGCCAGCCAAAGCATGGTCAACGCCCTCGACGTACTTTCGTACCTCCCTCGATTCCTCCGTGAACGCATCACGCCCAAAATGCCCATCCCCGACGTGAAGAATGACCCGTCCAAGGTCCAGCTTGCCCGCCTGGGCCACGTCTACTTTGAGCACCCGGACCTCAACAAGTTCGCCAAGTTCGCCAAGGACTTTGGTTTCGTCGAGGAGAAGAGGGACGGGAATACCATCTATTTCCGCGGCTACGGCAGAGACCCGTACATCTATGTCGCGACCAAGTCCAAGACCGGGAAGCCCAAGTTCATGGGCCCGGCCTTTGTCGCCAGGGACCAAAAGGAGTTTGACAAGGCCGCAAAACTGCCTGGCGCGACGGCGAAAAGTCTCGACAAGGCGCCTGGTGGCGGCCAGCTGGTCACCATTGCGCGCCCGAATGGCACGTTCATGCACGTCGTCTACGGCCAGCAGGAGCGAGACATTGAAGAGAACAAGGGCGAACCCACGGCGACGCACGACTCGCAGGGACCGTTCAACACGCCCTTTGAGAAGAGACGGCTCGGGCAATTCCAACGGTACCATGAAGGGCCAGCCCTGATCCACAAGCTGGGCCACTTCGGGTACGTGTGCAGGGAGTTCGACGAGGAGCTGGACTTTTACACGTCCAACTTCAACCTCGTGCACTCGGACATCCTGTGGCACCCGCAGTTCTCCAACATCGACGTGCTGACCTTCATGCACCTCGACCTGGGCCAAGAGTGGAGCGACCACCACATCATGTTCCTGCAGCGCGCTCCCCCCGAGGTCAAGGAGACGTACGTCCACCACAGCTCGTACGAGGTGGCCGACTTCGACACCCAGCTGCTCGGCCACGAGTGGCTGGCCAAGAACAAGTGGAAGAGCGTCTGGGGCGTCGGCCGGCACATCCTGGGCAGCCAGATCTTCGACTACTGGCAGGACAGCAGTGGGTTCAAGATCGAGCACTACGCCGACGGCGACGTCGTGAACGAAGACTCGCCCACCAGGAGGGAAGTGGCAGGCCCGATCTCCGTCTGGGGCCCAGAGTTACCCAAGGACTTTGGGGCAGATGGCACGAAGCTGGTGGTGCCTTCTTGATTGATGATTCATGATAAAGGAGGTGTCTGATTTGGTGCATGTATTTTCTGGAATACTGGGCAAGAAAACTGTGGATATTAATATATATAAATGTATAAGGATAACCGGATTTATCGACCGCGTCTGCCATGAATATTTTCTCCTACGAGAGATACCTGCTTCAGCGCCGCGAGGACGTTGTTAAGGCGGTAGCAAATGAACGCCCGGACTGCCGCTCACTCACGACCGAAACCAGTTCGTATTGAGGGTAAATCTAGAAGACCTCCGAAAGGGAGAACGCTAATATGTAGATAATGACGTTTTCTTGGCCGGGGGAATCACGGTTGTGGTTGACGACTTTATGACCGGTGAGAGACTGCTGAGGGCAGGGCATTTCTGATTCGACGAGCTTGTAGGTCGTGCCAGGCCTCAGCCTCGCTATGTGCGCGCTGTTTGGTTGGACCTGGTGATCTATATCCGCGCTGAGAAGCTGATTTCAAGCAGTCTGTTGTATCTCAATTCCTCCACTTGCGCAGAGATATATATTGGCAGTGACGGCAGCGATCTACAGCCCGCGAAAGGCCATCCATGTTACCAAATAGGGCTTGTTCCAAAACTGCACTTCGACAAGTGGAACCACATCCCGCCGACGCTCTTGGGGGCGAATCTGAACTACTGCTGGTGACAGACTTGGAATCTTTCTCTTAAACTCACGTCTCGCGTATTCCCGTCGAACGACGAGCTCTTGATTTTTTTCGTAAAGTGGATGCAGAAATGTCTTTTGCCTTCCCTTTGAGCGTACGAAGAATTAAAAGGGTTGGATCCGTCTTCTTGTATCGTCGCGAGCGTCTCATAGGTGCAGTGTCTTGAGAAGGATAGCAAGATCTCTGTCCCCCCTCTCTTCTCTTCTCCCTCCCTTTTCGAATCGGTCACTGTAACGCAGGAAAGCGCTCAGTTCGAAGCGCACTGAGTTGCAGCAATCTTCAACAGCTTCAACAGCAGATTATTTCACAAGCTGAAAGTAAAAACAAGTGGCGCGGTCTGACATGAGTAGCGTGATCCAAGTGATTCACTATTAGATGGTGGCCTTCGTTTAGAATAAATATTTTGTATACCTCTGTGAATAGTGGATCTCAGTTATTCATCCCATAACGTTGGCTGCATTTAATACAACAGCCACTTCGTCGTCGTCGAGCTCTCTTTCGCTGCGTAATTTACAGCCCGTTTTTCTGTGAAGCAGGAGCTTGGAACAGGTAGCCTGGTCGGTCAAGGCCGGCGGGCCTAGTATATCATATGCAGTCGTCACATCCGTCTTTAGTGCTTTTTTGCTCTGGTTTGACATTGACATTCGACTTAGGTTCAGCTTCGCCTTTCTCAGACCGGTCGTGCTGGGAGCTCCCCTTTTGCAAGCTCCGATCAATATGCCCAAGATCTCTGCCGGGCTCGATAATATTTCGAACTCGATTCTTCAGTTCCTTGGTCTCTGGAAATCCGCCTTCGGTCTTGCGGTCCCAGATCACTGTATCAGTCACCCGCATCACCGGCTCCGCTGATCCTTCCGAAGCAGCAGTTGCACGCGAAGAATTGTCGACGGTATGGCTCGTCGTAACTGTGACTGTGAATATGCCCCCAGCCACCGGAATTAAAGCAATCTCGCCGATGCCGGTGCTGAAAGTCTGGAGTAATTCCTGGGCGTACTACATGAGCATTGTCAGCAGGCAAGAAGAAAGGAATAGAGGATGATATCGTGCTCCGGAAAGATCTCCTTTCAAATAGCACATCCGAGTAACAGCATCAAGTATTGATGTACTCACATAAGCCGCCCGCAGATTCCATTTACACTGCGTACAGAATGCTATTGCGATACGCGGCACTTTTACCGTTGAGGAAGCCTCGCTTGCCATATTTTGCCGTTGGTGGAAAGCCCAGCGGAACGTACACCGGGGTTCTTGGCTCTGTTCTGGGGGGTTGAAGTTTATGCAGAGATCAGGGGCTGAATGTTGCAGATTTCTGCGGGACACGCCGATTTCAGTATGGCCTCTGAGTCACGTTTGCTCGTAACAATACGATGGGAAGGCCGCATGCGGTGGCTGGCTGGCTAAAAATGTCGTGGTGTGAGATGAATTGGTGCCGGGCTTGGTGGAAATGCACACCAGAGAAAGATCAATTGGGCGACGTGATAGGCAGCTGATGGTACCTCGCGCATGTTACCGGGGTATGGAGCAAGTATGGAGTACCGCATGTTCCGCGGTCGTGCTCGGTATTACTCGTACAATTAGGGGTTCCATACCAGGCCCCTTAGCTTCCATTCCTCTCGACAGCTTGTGGTGGTCTGCTCGTTCAAGCCTCAACGGAAGTGTCCCTTCACCTAGTAAGTAACCCGAGGTCCCAGCATCTCGGTTGCGACGTGGGTGATTATTTTAGCCAGAGGGTGCCCATGCCCCGAATCTACCGAGTACATACAGTACCTACTAGTCTTTGTGGGACAGCCATATTGTTGGGGCTCTCTTTCACTCGTTATCGGGACATGGCCTCTAAGCGAAGAAGAAAAGGGAAGGTCGCGTGTGCCTTGGTGGGCGATCTAGTGAAGTAAGGGGCTTTGGGGGGTTATCCCTGCGCACGTTATTCGGGCGCGGCGGTGTGCCCTGCTCCTAGGGGCTGGTGATCCCATGGCAGGTCGGAAATTCCCAATCTTCCAAACACAATGTGGGATTGGAATGTGGCGGCTTGCCCTAGAAGCGATTGAACAGGTGGAGGGAAGCCATTGTTGTATAATATTGTTCACGAGGTGTTGAGTAGTACTTGGTATGGAGGAACAGATTGAGCATGGTAACCTGGTACTGTAGATTCGATGGGTAGGAGTGAGGCCGATCGAAAAGTTCACCAATATGGTAACCACGATAGACTGGACAAAAGAGCGCGGTTACGGAAATCAACAGTCTTGAAATGCATTCAGGTAGCCACCTACATAATTCTCACAAAGAGAAATCCAGGTCGAAGCCTCGACAGGATCAAGAGAAGCTGAATCTGTCAACCAAGTACAAGGCGCAGCGCAACGTACATTAACACCCCGTGCTGCTTCTCCCATCGATGGTTGACCTACATGAAAACCTGTTGCGATGTTGCGTGACTCTGACAATTCTGGAACGCCTCTTTTGCGCCGGATGCTTTTTGAAGACTCGATCGATATCCTGCCGCACTTCTCTTTGAGTGCTCCATTGTGTCTTTTGGTGCCCCAATCCGAACAACTTCAATCGAACTCGATTACATGACAGTGCAGCACCCTTCACTACCTCCGCTCTGTGGATTGTATGGATCTTCTTTCCTGTCTACCTGTCCCCAGACCGAAGGTACCATGTAGTCCCGCGTTTGGTTGCAGTAGTTGATCAGGCTGCGCGCAGGTCAAGGTTAGCGGATGGATCGCGTTTCTCGGATCGCGCAGAGCTTTGTGCAACCTACCTCATGGATGCTTCAGCAACTTTGACACGAGGCCTCTCGAGATCTTCCTTGAGACGCGAGTTCAGTTCTTGAAGCCTTCGAAGTTTAAGATCCGCCATGCTTTGTTTTTTGGACTTGGCATCTCCCCCATCCCGTACCGCGTATGCTGCTGGCATGGTGGATTCCGGCAAGAAATGAAATCGCAGCGGTCGAAAACAAAGGCGTGGTAGTCGAGGGTGCAGGTGATGTCGAAGTCGTTGTGATGGCAAGGGTTTTCAAAATAGTCGTATCGGGAAAGGTGTTCGAAATGTTCGTAATGGCAAGGATTTTCGAAATACTCGTAATGGCAAGGATTTTCGAAATACTGGGTGCGGCTTGGGGTGAGGTTCTTCTCAGGGAGACGACGGGTGACTCGACGCAGAGTTGGGGTGGGAGTCGGCGCAGGCGTTCCTCGACCGACCTTAGGGACCTTTGGGACTTTTGGGCGTGGGGCTCCCTGCCTTGGCTTCTTCACTTTCTTCGGAGGAGAGGTGTATTGCTTGTCGTAATGAGCTGCCCACTGATCCTGTAAGTTGTCGATGGCGCGAATTTCCCTGCGTACGGAATATGGAGAACGGTAGCTGCGATCGAGCCGAAGCTGGTCAGGATGAAGGCCTTGACGGATAAGTCCCTTGGTCTCTGCGAATAGGTGGAATTAATAGGGATCGATTAGCAGGGGGGAAATCAATCTACTACCTTCCGAAAAAAGAGGAGCCATCTTGCTTTGGGGCAAGCGTCTCGGCGTGGTCATTGCGGTGGCGCAAGCGAGCAAGCTGTGCAATGTGTCTTTGTTTGGGCTCACGTGCAGCACGTGATAAATAGAATACGGAGACGCATTGAAGTGCAATTTATGTCCAAACAGTGTCGTCGGAGAAACCTTAGTCCGACGAAATCAAAGTGCCAAGCTGCACAACACTGGGCTGTGCGAATTCGATCCTTTTGACATCGTCACCAAGGCCCCTGTAGGCAATCAGTCACAGTCACGAGTTTATCTCTAGGAAAGACTCATCGGCCATCTGGGTAGAGTCTTGAGAGATATCATTCATTTGATCATCTCTTCCTATCTCTTCCGTGACTCAAACAGACGGCCATCAAAGATGCCTCCTCCCCCCCATATCCGGCCTGAGAATGTGCTCAGAGTAAGGCGAAAATCTCTGAGATTCCATCCAGCCGCGCACAATGACTGACAGAAGCCTTCAGCGAGCGCAAGAGCTCATTGCCGTTGACCAAACCCAAGCGGCTCTCAATGTCCTGCATGAACATGTCACCTCCAAGCGTTCACGGAATAGTCCCATCTCCTCTCTCGAGCCGGTTATGCTCCTTTTTGTCGAGTTGTGTGTCGACCTAAGAAAAGGCAAATCCGCAAAAGATGGACTTTACCAGTACAAGAACATCGCGCAGAACACGAATGTGGGAACGATAGAGGTATGTTCATTTGGAAACCCGGCGCTCTCTTTGTCACCTGATGCAGGCTGACGGGACGCAGTTGGTCTTGAAAAAATTCATTGAGCTTGCCGAACAAAAGGTTCAGGAGGCTCAAGCCAAGGCTGATCAAGTTCAATCGTCGCTTGAGTCGGCGACCAGTGCCACCGCGCTTAATGTCGAGGATCTCGAGGCCACTGAAACCCCAGAGACTATCCTACTGGCCACTGTCTCCGGTGAACAGTCCAAAGATCGGACTGATCGAGCGATTGTTACTCCGTGGCTCAAATTTCTCTGGGAGACGTACCGTACGGTCCTGGAAATTCTGAAGAACAATGCTCGACTGGAGGTTATGTATCAGAGCACCGCGCATCAGGCATTTGATTTCTGTCTGAAGTACACACGAAAGACCGAGTTTCGTCGGCTGTGTGAACTTCTGCGAAACCATGTGCAAAATGCTGCGAAATACTCCTCCCAGATGCACGCCATCAATCTCAATGAGCCCGACACCCTGCAGCGTCATCTCGAAACGCGCTTCCGCCAGTTGAATGTGGCGGATGAGCTTGAACTTTGGCAGGAAGCTTTCCGCAGCGTTGAAGACATCCACATGCTTCTCACGCTCTCCAAACGACCAGCGAAAAACGTCATGATGGCCAACTATTACGAGAAACTCACAAAGATCTTCCTCGTCAGCGACAACTTTTTGTTCCACGCAGCAGCATGGAATAAATACTACAACCTGCTCCGACAGTCTGCAGCCGCCGTCGCGTCTGGTCAGTCTCCAAAGCGCGATAACCCTGCGGTCACCGAGGACTCTCTGACCAAGGCCGCCTCTTTTGTCTTGCTCTCCGCCCTGGCCATTCCCGTCATCAGCACATCTCGTTCGCGAGGTGCGTTGGTCGATGTCGACGAGGCACGGAAAAACAAAAACAATCGCTTGACCAACCTTCTGAGCATGCCGTTTGCTCCGACAAGAGCAGGACTCTTCAAGGACGCGCTCAGCAAGGGCTTGCTCAAGCGGGTTCGGCCTGAGATTCGTGATCTCTACAACATCCTCGAAGTCGATTTCCATCCTCTGTCCATTTGCAAGAAGATTTCACCTATTCTGGCTCAAATCGGAGCAGATCCCGAAATGGAAAAATATGTCCTTCCCCTGCAGCAGGTCATTCTCACCCGTCTCTTCCAGCAGCTTTCACAAGTGTACGAATCAGTGGAATTGAGCTTTGTTACCCGGCTCGCTCAATTCCCTGCACCATTTGAGGTGACTCCCGCTATGATCGAGAAGTTCATCATGAACGGTTGCAAAAAGGGCGACCTATCCATTAGACTTGACCATATATCTGGTATCTTGGCCTTCGACTCTGATGTCTTCTCCTCCGCGAAAGCCATCCATCCTGGCAGTGCAGCAGGATCGGCAGAGGGCGAAGCCGGTTCAGTCCAAAGACTCCAGAATACCCCGGCCGAGATTGCTCGATCGCAGCTTACAAGATTGGCGAAGACTTTGCATGTGACATGCATGTACGTCGACCCATCGTACAACCAAGCTCGTCTAGCGGCGAGAGAGACCGCTTTAGCTCGTGCTGAGGCCGGAGCTGAGCAAGAGCACCAGGAAACTCTCGAAAGGCGAGTTGTCATCGAGAAGAAGAAGGAAGCGGCTTCCGAGGCATTCCAAAAGAGACAGCGAGAAGAAGAAACTCGTCGCCGCATTCGTGCTCAGCAGCAGGCAGAGGCCGAGTCTCAAAGACTACGTGACGAGACAAGAGCTCGTGAGCTCAAACGTGTCAAGGACGAACAAGCCCGCATTCGACGCCAGGAAATAGAGAAACAGTTAGCCGAACTTCAAAGTGGCATGAAGATTGATCTTCACGATGTGAATATTGACGAGCTTGACTCCAATCAGATCCGGTACCTTAAGCTGTCGCAATTGGAGAAAGACAAGAAAGAAAAGGACGAGCGCATCCGTGTCACAGCCAAGCGTCTTGATCACCTGGAGCGTGCATTCCGCCGGGAGGAGCTCAAGTACCAACAGCAGGATTATGAGAAGCAGCGAGAGGAGGACATGAAGATCTACGAGCAAAACAAACAACTCATGTTGAAGGAGGCGCAGGAGAAGCATAAGGAAGGTCTTGCCTTGAAACATCGTCTCAGCAGACTGGTCAAACACTACGATTCCTTCAAGGGTCAAATCACGGAGCGCCGTGCTGCCGAGTTTGAGAGGCTCCGCAAGAGAGCCGAGCGGGAATTCGAGGAAGAGAAGCGGAAACGGATCAAGGCGTACCACGAGGAGAAGGCCAGACAACGTGAAGCACAAGAAGCCGAAGAGCGTCGCATCCGCGAGGAGGAAGAGCGTAGACAGCGTGAGGAACAAGAGAAAGCCAAGGCCGAGGAAGAAAAGAAACGACTTGCTGCCGAGCGACGAGCTCAGGCAGAGGCGGCTCGGCTCGAGCGTGAAGAGGCCGCGAGAAAACAGATGCAACGTGAGGAAGAAGCCGCAGCAAGGAGAGCGGCTCGCAGAGCCGAACAGATGGCACCAGCACCGGCATCATTCTCTCGCGCAGGACCAAGAGAAGCAGCTCCCATGGAGGCCCGTACCGAGTCTCAAGAAGGTCCACGAACTGCCCCCCGTCTGCCCTTGACTGGTAAAGCCGGTGGCGGCTGGCGGGAGCGACAAGCTGCAAAGGAAGCTGCTGGTCAAGGACAGGCTCCAGCCGAAGCTCCGGTCCCCTCTCAAGCTGCTCCTTCAGGTCAAGAGCCACCACCTCGTCGTCCAGGCGGGTATGTTCCCCCTCATCTGCGTGAAAGCGGACCTGCTCGTGCTGGTGCGGACCACCCACCTCCTCGTGATCATTACCACCCTCCTTCTCGTGACTATCATCCACCACCTGCGCGCAATGCGTCTGCTTCTCCCGCTAACGGCGCACCAAGCGGACGTTATGTGCCGGTGCATATGAGAGACGGAGGGCGCAGCTTGTCAAGGGAAGGCGCCGGTTCTCCAGCACAGGGAAGTGGCGATGAAGCAGGGCAGAGAAAGCCTGCGTCGGGAACGCCGGGAAGGTATGTGCCTCCAAGCATGCGCAATCGTCAGCAGTGAAAGTCAGGTGCAGCACTATCACCTCGGAGTTGGACAAAGTAACATTCGAGGCAGCCGAGGAAGAATGAGGAGGTGGAGATAGTGGTGGTGGTTGTTCATTCTTGCCTAAAAGTTAGGTGCCTGTAATTTAAGTCTCGAACCATTGAGTTAGTCCTTTGCATCATCCAGATTGAGACGGCCTCATAGTTGTGTATTACCGGCGCACCAAAGACGGAGGCGCAAGGCCAATTCCATTCCCATAGCAACTGCGATACATTTATTTTGGCAAGACAAGTGAAGTCGTAAGTGCCGTTTCGATCGACGTGGTCATCGTCCTTGCGGCGCAAGGCTCACTTTCTCCCCTTTGTCCCCGTACAATTTCTCCCTTCCTCCTGCCCCGTCTTGACCGTCTATGTGATAGAAGCAGCAGCAGTAGAAAAGATTGGGGGAGGGGCCGAAAGCGTAACCTCCAAGACAACCCTTCCCACCCCTCCTCCTCCTCCTCCTGCTGCTGCATCCTGTGTTGTCGTGTCCATTACAACGCGACTCCTCCCGCCGAGCCGGTCCATCTCGCTGACGAACTCGTCCACTCCGCCGCCCACACCGAAGTAGACTCTTTTCGCGGCGACCCAGGCTTTGGGCCCCGGAGGCGCCTGGTCCGTTTCTGTCCCTGGCCCAGCCCTCGTCCCCGTCCCAAAACGGCGGTAATGGGAGGAGGCCAGGAGGAGATTGAGGACGGTTTCTGAGAATGTCTTGATCGAAGTGGGCGAGTAGATTGTTTCGGAGGCAAGGATGAGTAGGTTCGTGGGCCGTCGTTGGTCTTTGGCCATTCTTCCTGCTCGCAGTTGAGATTCTGACAGTGGTGATGCTCCTTTCGCATCCGGTGGAATAACGAGGTCAAGAAACTCCGGTCCCCATCCGCCCGATATAAAATCAAACGATATATTGTCGGAGGCCATGTCCCGGATGGTGTTAATCACGAAGGCCTCGCCTCCTAGTGCTTCGAGGTCGAGGTCTCCTCCATCCCAGCTGTCCTCGTCTCTCGCTGTTACTGTGCCCGAAGCGAACAGATAATTCAGGAACACGTTTGGCGCGGTGGCCAGTCGTAGAACATCGGCGTTGTAGTCGCAAAGCGTGATTTTGATGCTCCCACCGCCGTCCTCCGTTACCTTCCTTCCCCTCCTCCTCTCGAGGAACTTGTGCATGAACATCAGACTCGGCACGGCGCTTCCGGCACCGAGTTCGAGGATTTCCCAATCCTCCGCAAAGTCGCCAGGATGGCGATCACAGCGGGCGGCGTGGTCGAATTCCGAGTCGATCAGCGAGGCTAGGTCGAGCGCGCATTCCCACGTCTTGAAACCCCCTTCGTAAATGCCTGTGGATAAATCACCGCTTTCCAAACCCGAGAGGAGCGTTTTGGCAGTATCCTCTTCTTCGGCGGACGGGTTCGCTTCGACCATGAGTTGAGCGCGGATGTCAAACACCGAGCGACGGTAAAGTCTGTTGACGGTGTGGTCGTCGTCGGCGTCGGAGTTGGAGTCTGCAACGCCATGGTTTGCAGACTTGGATATATGCAGCTTGCTGTATGATATCTGCGATGGAAGCGATGCTAGCTGGGAAAGTCGGTTGGTTATGAGAACTGATCTATCTTGGTTTTTGTCCACGGGAACAGAGGCAGTGGAGCAATTTATAAACGGAAAAGCCATATTTTATGCACCTCGCAAATCAGAGATGGAACTTACCAGTTCTTCCAGCGAATGTCTCTCTGGATGCACGGCAATAATACTATGCGGAGGAGACTTCTTCCCTGGATCGGATAACGTGTACTCGGAGAGTCTGCTCGCGAGAGCTTCATGCTCTTGGGCTTCCTCTCCGTCGTCCTCGATGTCGTCACCACTAAAGCCGAATGAGAAAGACATGGGTATTCATCAGAAGGCTGCTTTTACTTTGAAAACTTATATAGGCTTGGGACACGGAGACGACGAAGCAAAAACTTTCAAAGTCTGAGATGAAAGGGAAGTGAAAGTGGATCTTGTCTTGGCTTCAGACGACCAATTTGAGCCCGCCCAGCGCTTGTAATAAATATCATTTCTATTCAGCTCCCTCCCCCAGGATAGGTAGACAATTATCATGAACACTTGCGACCCTGCAAACTAGGAGATCATTGCGACCACTGTCCTCCTCCTCCTTCTTCTCCCGCTGCCCAGAATTTACAAGAGTCAAAGTCAAACGCTACTCTCGAATTTGAGAAACCTGGCCCTTTTCCCTAGGATTGCAGCTTAACCAATCTGGTTCCTGCAGCAGATCCGCCTATTCTTGTTGAGTCCTGGAAGCAACTGCTCGGTGCATTGCGCTGCAATATCAGTCAGATCCGACCTTGGCACAGTGAACCCGCTGGGACCGCGGAGTCCTGGACTGTATACGAATACCGCGAAGCAGCTGCCATGGTCACTCCCAATATCCTCGCGCGGCACCCACGTCGTCCCATCGCATCCGGTCCCGGTGAGAATCGCCCCCATCGCTGCCGTCAGACCATCGGCGGGACCGCGAAATCGGGCGTCTCCACAATCGATCGTTGCCACCGAGATGGCTCCGAGGAGCGTAACAAAGCACAGGTAGAGGTAGTGTGGGAGCGACGTTGTTGCAGAACTGAATGCCAGTAGCCGGCTTTGGAAGAATGGAAAAGCGGTGATTTTAAGACGTCTCCGCGCAAAACGCAGCCGACGCAGAAGGGTTCAAGAAAATCAACGAAAGGGTCTGCGAAAATATACATACATATATCAAAATCCGGAATGGTCAAAAGGAGACAGCAACAGAAAAGAAGGCATGACAAGAGTGGTTGAGCGTTGGTCGCGGGGAACCAGATTGTCGTATGTCATCCATTCAGGAAAGACACAGCTGACATGGTCCGAGCCAGCAGGACGGAAGACAAACCACCTCATTCGCCCCTATGAAGGCCACTGGAACAAGTGAGCTTATCCGCTTTCCTTTCGAGGAAGCCCAGAGCCTGATTGGGAAGCATACAAACATCTGATATAAAAAAAAAAGGGGGTGACTTCGGGCCCCCGTCGCCCCGGAAATTCAGTATGGCCTCTGTCAGTCAGCCTGGAACATTTAGGTACGGCATTTACCCCTCAGAAGCATTGATCTGATCTGATGGAGTATGGAGTATACTACAGCCGAAATAGTTGTAGACAGCGGAACAGAGCAAGACAAGGGAACGGAGTGTTGAGCTAGTATCTATGCCAAGCCTTCGGCCAACCTGCTCTTCCTGGGCTGCCTGCGACCCATCCTCGCCCTGTATGAATTGTCTGCAAGCGGTCGTCCTTTTGAAGCGTTTCTGTACATCCTGGATCTTCGGGGGTTGAAGTTGAGGCCGAGTGTAGCCGACTGCACTCGAGGTAATCTGCCTGCAAAGTCGCTATCTTCGCGCCATTAATGCGACCACTTTAGGTCGCTTGTCATCCCACTCGTCCCATACCATCGAAAAGACGGCCGTGTGTCTCCCGGGCTGTTCTTCCTGCGTGCCATTCTTGATCCTAAGAGCTTCTGCGGAGAGGGCGACCTTGCCGCGTGGAAAGACGCGATCCCACCTCGCGATACCCTCAAACTCGAACCCGATCCGCAACGCAATTCTTCGAGATGCCGCGTTCTCCGCGTGGGCTCTCCATGCAACGCGACGCAACCCTAGACCGCCGGCGGAGGGCGGATCTAGTGTCCATAGAAGAAGAAGCCCGATGGCATTCGTTGCGACGTGGGTGCGTTGAAATGCCGGGAAGATAATCACGCCCATCTCTGTGACCGCGTCGTCTTTGCTCGTGCCAATCAAGGATACGACGCCGGCGAACTTTCCGTTCACACCCACTTCTCCAGGGCAAGCGACCTTGTCAATGACGGCAAACAGACAGTCCCCAGGCGATGAGGAAATACCCTCGTAGAGTCTCATGAAGTCTGCCTCGTCGTTTATTATCGGAAAGGGAATGTATGTAAACATGTCCGGGTGGGCTTTGATCATCTCGACAAAGGGCGCTGCATGGACACTTGGCTGCGGTCGAGTCAGGCTCTACCATTTTCGCAGAGAACTTTTGCCTTCGGCTCCCGTGGAAGTGATGTGAGTACATACCTCAAATATCTCGAGGGCGACGAGATCGTTCTCCAGGCGGCGCTGCTCATAGTGAAATGTCGCCTTAGACATGACGCCTGCCGCTTGCTTGACCAGCCAGTCTTGGTTAGACTTCGCAGCCGCCCAAGGCCACTGACTGTGAACTGATTTGTTTTAATTATCCTTCCCAAAGACGGAGTGCGGAGTACAGAGGCAAGCAAGTCTCTTTTCCAACAAGAAACATCGACAGCAGCGCTCACCGCCAGTCTCGGTACCCAGTACGGAGCAGCAAGGTCCTCCAGGCTCACTCGGTGTCTCGACCGAGACGTCCCTGTGTCATGGCGTGCTAAATACTAGCGCCTGGGACGGTGGATCGAGAGAGCTTGCTAGCCAGCTACCCGATACACAGTTGCCTATTAACTCCAAGCAGCTACGAATAGGTAGGTGCTGAATCACAGTTCATTCGGCGCGAGAGCCACCAGGGTCGGTGCGAGTGCGCGTGTGGCCCGAGTACCTACCTAGGTACCTCGTATTGGGTCCTCCATATCAAGCTCGCAAACTACTCCATAGGCACCGAGCACGAGGAAGAAGCGCACGAAACCCTCATCGTCCGTGTTCCCCACGTGACCGAGCCTTCCGCCGCTGTACTACCACCCGGCTTATCTTCCACTCCCCAGCACTTCCCCCGCCTCTTCATTTAAGACGCTGGGCCGGCGGGGGGATCCTAATCGGGCCTCCCTTCCGATCTGTCTAGACCGCTCGGTTAGGGTCCCCCTGTGGTGCTATTGGGATTCCTATCATTCGGAGCCTCAAGTTGCAGTCCACTGTGCTCAGCTTGGAACAAGGCCAGTATTCCTGAGCAATAAACTCGAAGATGGACCCGAGCAAGGAAGTTGGAGCACAGAGTGCGGGCCGAGAATCTCCACACGGCGGTGCATTTCAATACGATCCTCTTCCTACCGATGATCGTCGAGTAATCCGAGTTTTGAGGCTTCTACCAGGTGCAGAATCGACTCCGATAGCGTGCACTTTAATGTTTGCCGCTCTTCCGTCGGCTGAGACTCGGATACCTAAGGCCATCGCAATCCTCCCTAGTCCTATTCCTGTACCTTTCTGGGGTGATCTCAAACCGAAGGAGCCTGATGGCCATCACAAGCAGAAGACTGAACCAGATGTCCCCTCTCAATTTGCTCTTGCCGATTACGATGCTCTGTCGTACGTTTGGGGGGACTCGGTTCCAAGCCATCAGATAGCCCTCAATGGCTGCGAATTCGAAGTTACCCCCAACTTACACGCCGCATTACGCCATCTCCGTGACCGAAGTGCTGAGCGGACGCTCTGGCTGGATGCTATTTGCGTCGATCAAACCAATACCAAAGAAAAGGAGCGAGAGGTTTCGCGCATGGACAAGATCTACTACCATGCGCGGCAAGTGGTGGTATGGCTGGGAGAAGGGACCCCATCCAGTGACATCGCGATGGATTTCGCAAGCCGGATATATGAGTGTTTTCAGACAATGGATGATCACGACCCGCGAAGGTTCAAAAACAAACCAGGGGGGGAATACGACGAAGGCTTCATTTATTGGATGGACAGTGGAACTCGAATCTTGGTTGTCGATGAGCTCCTAGACAACACCCACTTAGATTCGTGGAGATCTTTTCACGAGCTCCTCCAAAGGCCTTGGTGGGGACGAGCATGGGTGCTTCAAGAAATTACCCTTGCGAGCAGCATCTCTGTTCATTGTAGAAACATTTCCAAGCCTTGGATCGTCATTAATGCGGCTGCGCAAATTGCATACGATACTTGGACTATTATCGCCAGTCGTCCAGGCAGGAGGGGTTCGTGGATGCCATCGTCGTCGCGTGATGTTGTTGGAGCGCTCCTTCATACACGGCACCGATGGAGGCAGTATCACCGCGTTATCCCAAGTAAAGTCGCTACCAGCGAAGTGAATTACGTCCCAGAACGTGCGGAAGGTGCCTCACAATTCTTAATGGCGAACATTCAACGCAAATGCAAACTTCCGCAGGATAAAATCTTCTCAGTACTGGGGCTGTTGCCGGAGGCATTAGCCCAAGCGATCAAACCCAACTATCAACTCCCAAGCGAGAGGGTCTTCAAGGAAGCGGTGAGAACCTTCATCCAAGTGACCGGATCTTTGAACATTATCTGCCATTCTCAATATTCTCCATGGCAGCGGGCAGATCTTCCTTCCTGGATGCCTGACTGGACGAGGCAGCCCCGGATGGCAGTTTATGCTGACCAAGCTCATACGGGCCTAGGCTTCTACAATCCCGTTGGCGATACGAAAGCTTGCATAACAATTTCCGACGATCTCTCGGTGTTAACTGCCGAAGGCTTTGTTGTCGGGACGGTGAAGTTCGGCTTGGTCGAGTTTGCCCTCATCCCTGCATTGGCAAAAGTGTATGGTGAACCTGGGCAGCATAGCGCCGATATCTTATCCTATCCGAATGGTCGTCGAGTTTTAGTCATTCTCGGCCCTGGACGAAGCAGCCCCTCGGATCCGAGCTATTGGAATTTTGGACAATCATTCTGGCAAATCATAGGACCGTACATCAAAGGAAAGTCCTACTACGAAGTCATGGAGTTCGACCTCCTCTCGCTTTTCCTTCAGTGCCTTCAGAAGAGATTGGCGGTGATGAGATCAGAAATCCCAGCCCCGGAGGAGTCTAGATTCCTCTCACGGGACGAAGAGGCCGAGTTCGCCTACATTCCTACAACTGTAAATTCCTTATTGGTCGGCAGGACACTTGTCGTCTTGGACGAAAAGATCATGGGATTCGCGCCGGATTTCACAGAGCCAGGGGATTTGGTATGTCTCCTCAAAGGCTGTGATTCGCCCGTGATCCTTCGCAAGCAGGCAAATGAGTCGTACATGTTCATTGGAGACTCTTATTTCTTGGAATTTCAAAGAGGCGAAGGCATGGATGGGCTGAAAGAAGGGAAATACACGCTGGAAAAGTTTCCAATGGGACCGACACTACGCGCAGAGAGAGCCAAACTATGAATATGGATCTATTGCCCCGGCATGCTATCCTTTGATTACGCTTTGTATCTATTTGGTTCCCTTGAGTGCCTCCGACTCGCCCTGGTCATCAATCCCATGTCGATATGCGTCAAGCGTAGGCTTGTCTTCTGCTTCGGGTGGCCAGCAGACGTGTGGCCCTCCCCCCGTTCTTCATTTGTCTACCATTCAACAGGACAATAGACAATTCGTCAAGCTCATTGTCAGAAGACGCTGCCGTGTGTTTCGCTCGACCAAGGAAGGTTGACCGTATAGGACGTCGTGACAACGCACCAAGGGCTGGATGCCGCAAATACGCAATGAATGCGAGATCCAAACGCGGAATCTATCCCGCCAACTCGAACTACATAGCAGTTGAGACAGAGGATGCCCTGCAAACTGCCAGTTTTGGCCCAGCCTTGGCTGTGGGAGTTGGTTTCAGGGAAAAAAAAAAAAAAAAAAAAAAAAAAAAAAGGAGGTTTTCTCGGGATACAGTACGGTCCTTGCATTGTTCTCTGTCAGACTTCACGCCCATTCAGCCTCCTTCTCTAACCGGATGTCCATCAGAGCGCACGCCAGCCGACACATTAATTCGGGTTTGTGGCCCACCTCGTCACACAGGGTCTGCACGTCGTTGCCGAGGCCGATATGCTCGGCTGTCTTTCGACTGCGTAGGTCGATCCAGGGCGTGAGACAAGGCCACAAGTGCTGCGCGGTGGTGAAGAAGATGTCGATGCCGACGTCGCCGATTCCTTTGATCTTTTGGAGCTCCGCTCGGATCTTGCGCCGGTCTCCAGATGTGAGTCTTGGGATCCTGTTCAGATCGCCGTCTTGCGCTCGAGTTGTCAGTAGGCAGGTTCGGATACACGAGGATCCAGAAAAACAGTCGTCGTCGTCGTGACATTATATATTAGTTAAAGCTTACCGTACTTCTCCTCTACCAGCTCCGCCAGCTGGCCCATAAAGGTCGCTGTCTTTTCCCTACATGCATGTCATCCGCTCAATTAGATTTCCCTGTATCAGTTGCAAGGCAGTTGCGGCGAGGACTGGGACTTACCGATAATGGGTATATCCACCTTTGGTTAGCACCTCCGTCCTTTCTTCCCACGTGCTCTTCTTCAGGACGTCAAGCTTGTGGTATCTCGCCTTGATCACGAGAGCGGTGGTCTTCGCAGCAATGTTGTGTGACACTCGAGTTGAGGACAATATGGCGTTCAGGAGCAGCGCTAATATGGTCTCCGGTGTCCCATTTTCTGGTTCCTCAAGGTCGGTGTCGGAGAGGGGAAGGCTGCCGAAATGCTCGAGGAGTTTCTCGACTTTTCTCGCCACGAATGTTCCCGGCGTGACCCTGGCCCTTCTCCTCCTCCTCCTTCTCCTTCTGGTCTTTCTTCGATTTTGGCGTCGACTTCTTCTTGTGACCTTTTCCCCCGTTGTCGTCGTCGTCGTCGTCGTCGTCGTCGTCGTCGCGTGCGCCTTCCGCGGTATGACCCCCCCTCACAGCTTGTGCCTTCTTCCGTTGTTTCGCTTTCGACTCACTCGGTTTCAAGCTAGTTCCCTCCTCCTTCTCCTCCACGTCGTTCGTCGCGGGACCTTTTGTCCCCGTCTCTCCCTCGACGGCCGCTCCAACCTTCTGTTCTTGGCCTCGTGATTTACTCTTTGCCCGAGTGGTCACCATAATGTGTTGACTGGCAGATCTGGGTTTGCTTGCTTTGACTTTGTCGTCCTTGGGAGGTCCCAGCGGATGCGGAACCCATTGACGTACCGGTAGTACCTGAGTGGGGGATGATGTCACAGGGCGTCTAATCCTGGTCCCTTTACTCTCGAATATACGAGTAGATACGTACTAGTATGTACGGAGTACGTGTTTCGGCATCGCTGCCTTTGTGGTCAGACACCCGGACCGTGGATGCGGGGAAGCGGAATCATTGTCACACGTCCCATTTGTTTCCCAGCAGCATCGCGTTGGTTCTGAGAGCCTACATACGTAAGGCATCCAATTGTGTCATCGGGTAAACCCCATCTCAGCGGGAAAGGAAATCCGGAGCCCTTTTCTCGTGACGTCTGATTTAGTCCCAGCTGTCGATCTACAATACGGCCCTGACCGGGCATGTTGGGGGCACCGAGGGGACATAACATCAGTGCATTTACCTGATGCAGGTACTCTACAAGCGATCCGGGTAGAGTAGTTGGTGAACAAATACCGGGTCCCTCGTACAAAGGGTCGGCGAGGCGGGGAGTGATACCCCAGGCTCCGGAGTGACAGCGCAAGGCTGGAGAGCACCAGGGGTACGAGGGCAATCATTGGCCGGAACATCTCATCTTAGTCTAGAAATTCTCCGATTGAACAGAGTCCCGGAGATCGAAAAGTAATACATTAATGGCATCTTGATGGTTCCACAGCCTTTCTCTCCCCCCTTTCTTCCCCCCTAGGAATCGTTGACGTCAAACCTCGACACTACCTCAACCTCACAAGGGGTGCGCCGGGCCCAGCAAGTTCCACCTCAAACGTACAGCGCGCTGGATGGGCGGAAATGTGTCCCGAGGCTCGATCGTGATGCTAGAGACCCAAAATTCCCCATGCTGAAGGCTTTCAGCTTAGCTTCATGTTTTCCCCCTGTTGGAATTCATATGTAATGAACTGATTCCACGGCACAAAGTGACCTAGGAACCATGTCATGACGTCAGGCCTCTGAAGAGGCAGCATCACCAGCACTCTGTTCTATAAAGAGGGCCGCTTTTATTCTCCCTTTCATCACTCTCACATCCTTCGCAAAGACCACCACAGGGACACCATTTTTGCGAGTTTTCACACCATCACAGCACAAAATCTACATCGCAAAATGACCGACAACACCAACCCCGGAAACTTCGCCAACCGCCCCAAGGAAGAAGTGCAGGAGATCGCCTCCAAGGGTGGTCAGGCCAGCCACAACAGCGGCTTCGCCAGCATGGATCCTGACAAGCAGGTAAGCCGGCAATCAAGAAAGCCAAGCAAGGCAGCTATTCTTCCCTCTCCTGCACTCCCGCCCGTGGTTGACCCCTCAACAAATTTTCTCCCTCTGTTAGCTGCGTGTACTTGTCCAGACTAGAGAGATGGTTGCTAACGGTTCGTGTCTGTCTCTTGCAGCGCGATATCGCATCCAAGGGTGGTCAGGCATCGGGCGGTTCGTTCGAAAAGGGCAGCGAGCGCGCTGCCGAGGCGGGGCGCAAGGGCGGATCAGCGACTGGCTCCTCTTAGCTGCTGTTTGCAGCTATCTGCAGCAGGAACAGCAACAGCAACAGCATTAGCAACAGATGAAGCGAAGAAAGTGAATGAACATCTCTCATTTTGGCTCGGCATTGGTGCTCCACTGCTCGTGGTTGTGGGGACGGAGTGAACTTATCGTCTGTAACAACAATGTGGTTGGGGATATATACATCAGCTGCCTGGTAGCTAGCTCAAGCGATAAGTAAGCACAGCAGCAGCAACACCTTCATGTACGATAACAAGATGGCAATGACAGTGGAGACCAGAATGAGGCTGGTGGATTGGGCACAGCGCGCCCGTCACATATAGCACAACACAGCAGTGTTCGCGAGATTCATGGCCGAAATCCTGATTCGGTGTTGATAATGTGGCAAGGACAAGGACAAGGTGCAAATCCCTGTGGTCAATCAGGCAGCTACCTCGTGCAAGGGAGCGCATTCCAACAGTTGAAAAATAGTCCATATCCCGTTTGAGATCCGTGTTCCCGCTCGGTCGATCTGGGGATTTCCCCGGCCGCAGAGAGCCTGGAGAATGAGTAGCTTCATTTAGACCATGGAGTTACCTGTCATAAGTAGGCAATGCTGGTGAGTAACCGTAACCACGTGGGGCAACTGCGTCAGCGTGATTCATTGGCTTGCTTGCTTATGTCGGAATCCAAAGCGACAAGTGTTCAGAACTCTGGTACGTACACGTGCATGCACATACGTGGTTGCCGCTTCTGGTTCAAAACCAAGAATGAATTAATATCGGTAGGGGGAACAGATAGACATCAGAATCATGTCCAACGTTACTATCATCATGACGCCGCGTATGCGCTCTTCGCCCTCAACTTCTTCCCATACCGCCTGAAAAACAAGGGAGCAGGCGCTAGGAGCAAGCCAATGCACCCCAGCAGAGTCATGGTCCAGTGTACCCCTATCCCCGTGTACATGGGCCTCGCGGCCATGACCATCGTACCCGCAATGAGATATCGCGCCATCGTAATACTGGCCAGCGCGACGGCGCTGTGTTTCGTGTAACTGTCGACAATGTACTCGTAGCTGCTGACGTACACGGCCGTCGCCACGATGCCAAAGCAGAAACAGGCCGCCAGGCCCGACCACAGTGAGATGCTGGGGTAATTGGTCCAGCCCAGCCAGAACAAGGAGATGGGCATCAACGGCGCGGTGACGATGGCCGGCCACAGTCTGTATTCGGGCTTGATCCAGGCTTGCCTCACGTAGTGAGTGTGGACGCGTGAGAAGTGGAAAAGAGCTGGCGCAAACAAGGTAAAGAATGTGGATCCGGCGGCGATGGATGCGAAGCAAGACCCCGTCAGCCCGTCGGACAGCCCATAGGTCTTTTTGAAAATGTAGTCGAACCCAGATAAGAAAGTGAACATGAGGATGTAGACGAGTATCAGGTAGCCACCCAGGACCGCAACGACAGGCTCGCTGGAGAAATAGATGACGGGCATAGGGAGGGTCTCGCGTAGACGCTTGAGGAGCGATGCCTTTTCAGCGTGGTTGGATACGTACACGGACGATCCGGAAACACGGCGAAGATGTCGGGCTTTCCAATCCAGCAGAATCGGCAGGTAGGTCTCGGGGAGAAAGAGGAAGGCGATGATGAAGGCAACACCGGACATGATAAGTGTGACCCAGTCAGTCCAGTGCCAACTGAGGCCGCGATCTTGTACCAACCATCCGCCTGCGACCGGCGCGAGCATGGGAGCTTTGCATCCTAGTTAGCCGGACAGTTAACAGAGGGACCGAAAGAAAGAGCGCCTACCAGCAACGTTTGCCCATGCAATGACAGGAAATGCGAACGCCCGCTTGACAGGGCGAAACTGATCGCTCACACTGGCGCCATTGATACCTAGGACGGCGCTGGCAAAGACGCCAACAAAGTATCGGCAAACAATCCGCCCTCCCAAGTTCGAAGTCAACGCCGTACCAAGCACAAAGCATAGATAACAAACGGTCGCTCCCAGGTAAGTCGGGTTCCTTCCCACAGTCTCGGAGAGAGGGCCACAGAAGAGGCATCCGGATCCAATGCCCAAAAGATACAGGGCTTGAGAGAGATTGGCCGCCACCTTGCTCACACCGTAGTCTTGACTGACTCGCGAGTTCGCCATCGAGTCTGCGGCGCTCGCCCAGCCCTGGGAGAATATAAGGAGACATAGGATGGCAATATTCTTGCACCTTGCGGATAGCGGCCAGTTGTGAGGATCAATAGGGTCATCGTCGCCTGTCGTCTCGACGACGATCTTCCCACTCCCACCGACGCAGCCGCCCACGGATTCTGGCCGTTCCTCGGAGGACTCCTCTTCAAGGGCACCGTTGGATCCCCTCAGTATCCTCTGTTCAGACCCCGCCTCAGCATCTCGAAAAGCATTCTTTTTCTCGGTGTGACCTTGTTTTTGAGCCTTCTCTTGCCATTCGTGCTCGACCTGCTTTCCGATCCGTCGATACTGTACTAGTGACCACATTGAATGCTTTGGCCGGCGAGCAATGTCATAGGTCTGGCATGTCCGCCAGCATAATCATGCACCAAATGGAAGAAAAGGCACGTCTGTATCCCAAGAGATGCATGTGCAAGAAGTATATTTGGCTCAGTGCTGGAAATTTCGGGTGCGAGGTTTTGCTGGGAGGGTGTCGCGTGAGGTGTTTCCATCTTTGTACATTTTGCTCAAGCGAGCCCCCCAGCCTGAAACTGCCCACAGCGAAGAGGGGGATTTTGGAACCAAGTCTCTGCATGTGACGTCAAATTCAGCGTCGATGGAGTGGAGGCATTTCTCCTCAAGCAGAAAAGCAGCATGGCGGAAGAGCATGATTGGAGGCATGGTCCGGCATGGCGTTCGCTCTTCTTTTTCCTCCCCCTTCTCGCAGTCCTCCTTTTGGCGCCCACAGGTGCCTTTTCGATTTTGTTCCTGACATCATGGTCGAAAGGGATCAGGGGATGGCATCTGTTGATCGTGACAATCTGGTGGTGAATTGATAACGCTGGCAATCGTTGAAGTGCGTCGGGCTAGCTGGGCTCGTTCAAACCTTTGAATCCTGTCCTGGTCAGCAATGGTGTCCCACCTTTTTCATTCTCTGCGATTTGGCGATGAGATGTCTCGGCGGGTGCATCGCGGGGCGCCGAATCCCCCGTCAGATAAGCAGACAGATTTGCTGGGTCTGCAAAGGGCATCTCCTTTGACACGAGACTGGCACGTGAAGGCAAGTCGAAAGGTGAAGGGAGGAAGCATCAATCATTTGCAGAGGGCACCGAAACCGCAGTTGTGCGGGCTTGGCTTGTTTAGGGCGCACAAGGCCCATCAACACCTTGTCGGTCCCTAAGCGAACTAAACAAACGCCTCGACGCTTAACCCCGTCACCAAAACGGCTGCATCTTTTCGTTCGTGGTCTCGCAACACCCTGATAATACGGGCTTCATGATCCTCAATCCTGTTGACGAGTGTTGCTTCGAGCTCGGGCGACTTCCAATGTCCGGTGACTAGCTTATACTCTGACTTCTACATACGATCCTCGCTTATCCAGTCCGCTCAGAGACTCCTCCGGAAAGAAATGTCTCGCAAAAGAACCTCCCGACTGACTTAGCGAAAAGGCGAACTCTGCGACTCTCTCCATGCAGATGCGGGGCTGTGTAATGCCCAGAAATAGGCTGTGCAGCCTACCATCATCGAGCAGCAATTGAACCACATGATCCTCACACCTGTGCTACACCGGGGCGCGTTCTAGAATCCTTAGCTGGCTGGCCAGGATGGCACCAACACTATCCATGGTCACTTCTGCACATAACGCCAGTGATTGCCCCCCTGATCCCATCTGCAGCCTCGGTCCACACTCTCGCAGTCAGGACTCTAGATGTATCGCAAACCATCGGGCGAGATGGGCTTCTCCTTCAACCGATTCATGACCAATGCCTTTCCGAACTTCGCCAACGACAACCCTGAGCGGGATGCCGATCTCACCACGGACGAGAAGGATACGTTGTGGACGCATCAGGTCACAAGGGCCGAGGCCGCGCAAAGGTGGCCCATGACACTGGACGCCGGAAGCGCGCTGAAGGCAGGCATAACTCGTAAGGCGCCCACATCACTCAAACCACGTATCCGTATGGGATCGACTCGGCTAACGAAACACTGAATAACGAAAACCAGCAAACGACAAAATTTCCGCGCGCATTCACAAGGAACTGGTCAAGAACGGCGTCATCGACCCCTGCGCCCCGCTCGGCATCGACACCACGAGGATCACTCCGAAATTCGCTCACCAGCTGGCCTTCATCAGTGTCGCGGCGCAGCGCAAGGTTGTCGGCATGCTGTTCTTCTGGGAGGAAGAGGCGATTCGGTGGAGGCTGTTGGAGCAGGAGCAGGCCGAGATCGAGACCGCCATGGGCGTTGTCGAGGGGGGAGTCACGGAGGAGACGAAAAAGGAGCTGCAAGTTCGATTGGAGAGCGTGCGGATGAGGAAGGCCATGAAGCCCAGCCAACGGCCGCCGGTGCACGGTGCAAGTTCTCAAGAGTCCTTGGGCTTGCCGCAGTACTCTTAGCATAGAAGAGGCAGCTCGGCTCGGCTATGAAAACTCGGTTTAAACTTCGGCTCCAACAGCTCAGGCAGGCCTTATTGTGTATCTATGCAAGCCGATCTAAGAGCGTACGCGCTTTTTCTTTTATCCTACGGGATGGAGGGCCCTTGCACTGTATGTCTGTAGGGATGGATGCAAAACAAACAAACCCGCGGCGACGCTGGAGGACAACACCACCCAGGGCCCTAGGCAAACTGGACCGTGTTCCGCAGCGTGCCGATCTTCGATATCGACACCTCCATCTTCGTGCCCGGGGTGAGAAATCGCGGGGGCTTCATGCCGAAACCGACACCTGTGCGTCCACACGGGCCGGGGTCAGTATATCCAGAACAGGGAGTAGGATCGAGGGGAGCCAGAGGACGGGGGAGGAGAGAGATTGAGAATAGGAATCCTGTTGGCATCACGCGGCGAGAGAGAGAGAGAGAGAGAGAGCCACTGACCTCCTGGTGTCCCCGTCATGATGACACTGCCCTTTTGGAGGGTCGTTCCCTGACTCAGATAGGAGATGATATATGCGCAATCAAACAGCAAATCAGACACGCTTTCGCTCTGTCGCGTCTCGCCGTCGATGATCGTCTTCAGGTGCAGCTCTGCAGGGTTCCCGATGAGTTCGGGGGCCACGAGACACGGGCCCAGGGGAGCATATGTGTCGAAGCCCTTGGAGAAGCCCCATTGAGGGATGCGGCCCGCGAGTTCCGGGTCGCGCTGGAGTTTGCGCGACGAGACGTCGTTGCCGGCTGTGTACCCGCCCACGTAGTCCAAGGCTTGTTCGACGGGGACGTCTTTCGCATCGCGGCCCATGACGATACACTTGAAGGCGAGAAAAGAAATGTTCAGCTTGTGATACATCCCAGAGGTCTCGGGGCAGTGTGGTCTGTGGAATCTTACCAGTTCTCCTTCGTAATCCGCCTGGTCGTCCTGGGCGAGTTTTGGTATCACCACCGGAGCATCGTGGTCCTGGACTGTGGTGTTCGGTTTGAAGAAAATGAAGGGGAATGGCGGGGGTTGTCGTCCGGCTTCCTTGACTGTATGATGGTCCTCCATGTCAACATCACTCACTTCCATTGGCAATTGATGATTGCATGAAAGCCATAGCGAGCCGATCGACACCCCGGCGGTGAGAAACATGTATCAAACGTACTGTGCTTTGCATAATTCAAGCCGACACATCTCAGAATCGGCACCTCCTCTCGCGCCAACGGACCAAGGATCTTCTTCACCGTGACGACCTCATCCGTCACTTCCGTCTTGCCCGTCGTGTCAAAGATGTCGTCGCCCACGATGACTTTGGCCTTCAATTGGTCGGCTTCCGTGACGTTGCCCAGGTCGAAATCCTCGCTGGGCAGGATCGGTTCGCCGCGCAGTAGGCGGCCATCGGTGGCGACGAAGCGGATGAGTCTGGTCCACAGCAGTTTCATCTTGGGCGGCTTCGTTCTGTTTGAAGAGGATATTGTTAAAACACAAAACTGTTGATCTGGTTCCTAGGCGAGATGATTGTCGAGGTTAATGCGTCGTTGATATTACCAATAAGATCGCCATGTGGGGTCTGTTGTCCGGAGGTAAGTAACTGAAGTGGAGGGAAGAACGGGGAAAGAACGGAATGGCATGTCCAACGCCCAAGCTGACTCGCTCAAAGGCGAAATGGACGATAATGAGACGGACTTTGTCGGCCAAGATTGCGGCGCCCGTTTTCCAATTCCAAGCAGTCAAGATAATGCCTAAGGCTCCATCCTCGAGAGGTGGTTAAAAGTTCAATCTAGTACTACCTCCTATTTCCCCGGCCACAAGCTGGGTGTGTCTCTATTTCAGCCGGCCATCATTGCCGTCAAACCTGGCTCAACGCCGACAAGGTCTGCAAACAGGTCGAGACTATTGTCCGTCCAATATTGGTGCATGCTCATGTCAAAAGCTGCGAATGGGTCGTCTTGGCCCATGGTCGGCAGGAGACCATTCGTCGCGATGCTCCCATCCATTCCTCCTTGGGATTGCAAAGAGAGGCTGTTGCTCTGGCTACTTAATTGGGCCTCAGAGGACAAGGCCGACAAGATGGCTGGACCGTGTTCCGGATTGAACTGCACAAGTGTCATGCATATCTGCACCAGCTTCAAGAGTGTCTTCCTGATTCTCTTTGCGGATTTGGTGCCCTCGCCGAACTGTTTAAGCGTCTCCATTGCCCGCCGGAGTCGCGTAATCATTTCGACAATTTTGGTTTCATCCAAAGAATCGGTGGTGGTTACCGGTGGACCATTTGCAGTCCGTACGTTCAATGGGGTGATCTCTAGCAAAATGCCACTGAATATCACGAGAGCCGCATTGAATGCTTCATAGGTTTGGTCAGCAGTCATCTCGGGTGAGTGTTCAAAGCAAATTGCTTACTGTAGTAGGCAGTGAACCACCACGCCCCGAGTAATGCAGGTGGCTTACTCGTCTTGTGGACAATCTCGACGATTTCCATGGCGGCTTGCTGGCAAATTTTGACGCTTCGTTCGCCGAGGTCATTAAAGAAGGGATCTTCCTGCTCGACCGGTTCTCCAGATCCCTTCAAACGAGCCCTTTGTCGTAAGAAGGCACTCAAGATGGGTCTGTGTAGTAAGATCCGCGTATTGAGATATCTGAGCGTAATGATGACGCTCAATCTGTCGAAAACAGGGTCCCAGGCAGAGACTGAGACGGAGTCAGGATCGAGAGTATCCCATGGCCTTCGTTGCAGCTGAGGAAATAGGTGGTGTTTCCAGGCTGCCAGTTTCTGTTCGAGAACGACAGTCCTTTCCAGCATTGTTGGGACGGTCAGCCCTGGATCAACGTCCACATTGCCTCCATAGAGTTCGCAGATTATGTCTCCTAATATATAGTACAGTTGTCTGGCAGCGGTCAGTTTTACCGCCCATTGACAAGTCGCGGGAAAAACTTACATGGTTGCAGTGAAAAGGCAAACTGTGTCTGGCGGGTCCAAGCTGCTCATTGACGTTGCAGAGTTTCCCAGCATTGTCAATCGCTCCAAGTTTTGATTCAACGGAAGGTCTAGTTTCACAATGGAGTTAGGCATCATGCAAGGGCGACCAAAGGTCATGCTTAGTGTCCTAGAGCCGGTGAGATGTTGTATCTGGTCCCTTTTGATGGCTGTATACTCACCTGTCCAGGATCATACAGCCAAACCATGTCCGCTTGCGAATCTCGGCTTCGACCAGGTTCAGTCCAGAAGAAGCCGTCTGCGAGTGTAGTCCCAGTTGGATGGCTGCACGGACCGCGAGGCCATGTAGGTTCCAGGCCTGGTCAGATCGTTGAGTGCCTTGACGATACTGTGCCATCAAGAGCAAGCATTGAACTACCGCCAATCAGTGATATTATCCAGCATTGCAGTCTCGCAAATGTAGTGGGGCCGTAATCGCCTCGGCCCAAGAGGGACCATTTGTTCCAAAAGCACTTACCCGTCTCCAAGCTGGCTGATTTCATCTCTATCTCTGCCGACAAAGCATGTGCCCTTTCTATGAATATCTCTGATTCGGCGGCATTCTTTTCAGCCGACTGGTTAGGCTTAGCGCTGATGTAGGTTGCAAACGCAAATATGGCGTTTACGAGGCATAGCCAGGAACGGCTCACGGCACTAAAGCGATTTCGCCGTGCCGCAGAGTAAGTACGCAGAACATCCTGCTCGTGGATGTAGGGAAACAGCATTCCGGTATCCGAGAAGAAAAGCCTGATGAGGTGCAGCGCGCGCGCTTCGGGAGGGAGGGACCGAATGTTGATGTGGTGTCGAGCGATGGGGCTCGTCTCCGAGAGAGTCGTGGTGACCGGAGAGGCTACTCTCGAGACAATTGGCTGATTTATTCCACTTTCTGAGTGTCGAGACTGCCCTATTGCTCTCAATGTAGCTGAAGTCGCATCGGATATATGGCGGAGCAAGGCTATGTTGGAGGATGGACCAAAAAACCTCGATTCAGTTTCTTCCGGGTCCGTGATGGCCGCCATGCCATCAACAGAGTCCTCCGCATTTTGCTGCAGAGATTCATCTTCGTCGAGAATGGCAACGTCTTCATCATCGTTCGGCACCTGTCTTGGCTCTTGGACAGAGGTGTTGGCTTCTTGACTCGGCCGATTTTGCTCGTGGCTTGGTGGGTTTAACTGATCAGGACTATCCGACGGAGGGTGGTTTCGGTTCACGAGGAGCCTGAGCGTGTCCTCGATAGCCCGCAACCGCTCGTCATAGCCTGGCTGCAGCTGAGGAGGCCTGACATTGCCCGCAGCAGGCTGTTGATATATGCATTCGAAACCGAGTTCGACGCAGAGGCTGCAAGAAGGCCTAGCCCCGTTGCAACGTGATTTGCGATTCCTGCAGGATGTGCAAGCTAGAGCTATCCGCCGTCGTTTGTATGAAGGCGGCGGTGTCGTTTGGTCCTGATCCTGCAGTTCGGTCTTCCGGACTTGGGCATCCGGCATTTTGTCCCCTGCTTGGTACTCCTTCATCGAGGCAATGTGGTATGATTCGTCACGTGTGTTGCAGCAGTATGACCAGAGGCAAAAGCATCTCTGGCCCGCTGGCGTGCCAGGACAAGGGGTATATCGGGGAACAAAGCTGTCTTTTGTATGTTTGTGGAGTTTGACACCAAGGCTTTCTCGATTGCTTCCACTTGCCTTTCGCTACCCACAGGTGCAATCCTGCAGCACCATATTCTCTCAACACAGGCACCTGAATCTTCGAATATTCTGTCTCCTACGTTGATTGAACAACCGCCGTATCCCGCTCTCTGCGACCTCGGGATTACCAAACTTCAACAGCTTCATGCCAAGGCCTCTCCGATTTATACCCGATTGTGCGGTTGTATAAATCATTTTTGTCAGACGAGGCCTCTAACTGCCAAACGACCTAAATCCCCTCTAAATCACTTGTCTGACAAGACCATTTTGAAACCACCTCCTGTGAGCTCCCCGGCCTGCATTCTTCGTCGCTCTCTACACATCTCGCTAACACCATGTTCATTGATCGGCGTGCGCTTTGCGTACTATGCCCTTCGGCCGCCGTGTCAACTGGTATTCAGCAAATAATTAGCTATCGCTAGTGATATAGCAGGGTGCACATTCACCGTCACCAATGATGATTCTTGTGAGCGACAGCTGTGACATAGTATTTTGATGGATTATGTCGGAATGACTACTTGTATCTCGTTTTGACCTCCTCCAGCGTCAAAGTTTGCTTCCGGACTGCTGTCTTCAGGCCTTGTTGACGCCACCCGTTCAGCTTCTCTGGATACACCGGGACTATGCCATCGATCTGAGCATCATGGGCAAGTACCACAAAGACACTCGAATTTGAGTGCAACGACCGGGTTTTGTGGATCGTTTCCCTTGCTCTAATCGGATCTTTGTGAAACCCAGGCTGACCGTTTGGTCCCACATCAATGCTGATGTCGCGAGATGGGTGTTCAAGCAAATCCCTATGGTGACAACAGTCACCTCCCATAGCAACCCATTCATCCTCGCCAGTCCGTGCTAGTGCCATTTGATGACCAGGCATATGGCCTGGTGCATCCAGTACAAAGAAAGATCCATCGCCAAAGATATCTACCCCTTCCTCGAAGCTGAATGAAGATGGCACAGACCCTTCCGTCAGTCTGCTGTACTGCGATCTTTCCAGCTCAGTGAATCCCTGGTGAGCGAGAACCGACCCGTCGAAGGGCGAAGCATCACTGGCCGGATATCCTGGATGGATGCAGTCTCGCGTTCCTGGTCCGACGATGATTTTAGATCGAGGAAAGCGCCAAACATCCCCGGTATGGTCGAAATGCATGTGACTCAACACCACCATATCAATGAGCTCTGGTTTCACTGGGCCACCTGAGAGCAGATCGTGCGCATCCTTGGGAACAAAGGGCTCAATCGCGCTATAATCCTCCCTGATCACCCTCGGATTATTCTCCAAGTCCTGCCATTGAGAATTATTAGCACCTTCTTTGGAGCATCCTAACCACCGAATCCTGGACGAAGACTGACCCTGCGCATACCGAGATCAAACAATACATTCTGACCAGAAGAATGTCGAATGAGAAAACTATAATCTGGAGACAAATGGCGGACTTTCGAGTCCCCATCGGCAAAGATCCAGCGATCGGGTAGCCAGAGGTACCCAGTCGGTAGGACATATACCTCCACTGTCTGAGGTGCGGCCATTTCACGGGGATTAGATTGTTGAGCTGTGACAGAGTCTGCTCCAGGTTCGCAAGAAGCGGACCTCCAAAGCCTCTTTCATACCTATTCTCGATCCTCGTCGGGAAGCTTGGTGCTCAGCCTGCTTATTCCAACTCCGAGCGTAACCGTGCCAATTCAGCTCCCAATCGGCTTTAAGACGTCTCGGTTCTCCGCTTCCGATGCACACCCCCTTTTTCTTGCACGAGGTTGCATTCATATCCTGTTGATATCACTAAAATGTTGCTGGATTGGAGAACATATTAACATCCTCTTGGGCAACTCGTTGCAGGATTCCCCCATATCCCCTTGAACGCTGAACAAGTGAACTTTGATCCAAAGTTCCATCTCAATCGGTGCTTTTCTCGGTAGTGGGCATACAATGGAGCGAATCGATACTCACGCCCACGTTGTGCCTGGGGTGTGGCGGAATTTCTGTTGCGAGTATGGGTTTGATCAGCCAGACGGTATGCCTGCCATCCCTGTAGGTGACCTGCTCTCCACCGACGATGCGCGAGCTTATTTACGTTCAAGGCATGGACACCGGAGGCGCACATCGATCTGATGAACAAGTTGGGCATCTCCAAATCCATACTCAGTATTACATCCCCAGGGACACACCTCAAGCCGCATGACGATGTATTGGGCCGAACAATTACTCGAGAGTCAAATGACGAAATCGCCCGTATCTGCCGGTTGCATCCCAACAAGTTCGCCTTTTTCGCATCCCTACCGCTTCCAGACGTTGCTGGATCTGTTGAAGAGATTGACCGCGCTCTAGATAACCTAGGCGCGGTGGGATTTACTCTCATGACGAATGCACACGGTTACTATCTGGGTGATGCCCGCCTTGAGAAAGTTTTCGCGAAGCTGAACGAAAGGAAAGCAATAGTGTTCATGCATCCGACTACATGCCACTCGCAGACTCTGCCAGAAGCTGAAAGGCCTCTCTCTCAGTATCCTGCACCAATGCTTGAATTCTTCTTTGACACCACACGGGCGGTTGTCAATCTGATTCTTTCTGGCACTGTGGCACGCTATCCACATATTACATATCTCGTTTCTCACTGTGGCGGTGCACTGCCGCCCCTGGTTGAGAGGTTCTCTTCTTTTGCAACACGGATTCTAGGCGGCGAAATGGCTATGGACTCATCGCATGTCAAGGAATTATTTAATTCAAGGTTTTACTTCGACCTGGCAGGATTCCCGTTCCCCGACCAGATTCACGGGCTCTTGCGCATGACAGACGCGTCGAGATTGTTATATGGCAGCGACTATCCCTACACGCCAGCATCAGCATTGACAGGAATGGCTACGCGAATGGACGATGAGCTGAACAAGTTGTTTGAGGAAGGGGCAGTCCGTGAGATCTACTCGGGTAATGCTAAGCGACTGTTTAAAATTTGAAAGATAGCTCAGCTGTGCAGACAACGAGTGATTGGGTTATTGGTCAAGGCCAAGAAATCCCATTTTCTGAATCCGCTTGTTCGATGGGTTCCTGGGTGCATCCTAAGTGGCCAGCAATCCTTGCGAAATGTTAAAGGGCATTTATCGGATCTTACATGCTGTTTGGGTGGAGAACGGTTGCACCATCATCTAGACCAACCCTAACTCCAGCCTTGCGTGCCAAGCTCCTATCTCCGCCCGAAAAACAATCTTCCACCCCAGGTCGGGGAAAGGTATATGTGTACATACGAGGATGTGTAACCTGTCCGAACTTTCCCCTGGGATGGAGAGAGGATATTTGCAAACCACTACTATATTCTCTTCCCAGCCAAGGCTTGACGGGCGAGAACATCTGGCTGTTACTGTGGGACTGCTATAAAGAGGGCACCTTCAGATGCTCCGAGACGCGCGGGTCCTTCACTTAGAGACATTTTCTGGTGATTCAAAATGCTCGCTGCGGATAAATCCTTCGACATGCGTGTTGAGGACAGCATAGCGGAGGTCGAAAACAAGAGCCAGGAGTTGCGTCCAGATGTACCTATCGATCCTTTCGATCCTCACGATCCTCTATCATGGAGCACTTCACGGAAGCTCACTATCCTCCTCGTTGTCGGCCTCTGGATTCTGCTGGGGACGTCAAACATGATCATCATCGCGCCCGCCCTTCAAATCATCCCAGTGGAGTTTCATTCTTCGTTTGACACTTCAACTTACCTCGTGGGCGGCCCTCTCTTGGCTTACGGCATCTCTTCCTTCCTCTGGGTGCCCCTGGGCAACAGATACGGTATCAGACTCGTCTTTGTCCTCAGCTCTCTGGCGGCAGCCTGCATGGATTGTTGGGCAGCGCGCGCAACATCGTTCGGCAGTCTTGTCGCTGCCAGGACCCTGGCTTCAATGTTCTACGCCCCCCCAGAAACACTGGCACCTCAGCTGGTTGGCGACGTCTTCCATTTCAAGAACAGAGCAAAAGCTATGACATGGATCGGCATCCTGCAGGCCAGCGGGTTTTCTGGCGGGCCGCTGATTGGAGCTTTTATCATTCAGAACCGGTCTGTATACTTGTATCGTCCCCTGGCGTATATGCTAAGCTATAGTAACAGGGCTCTCGGCTGGCGCTGGATCGAATGGATTCTAGCCATCATCACGTTCGGTGCTGCAGTCTTGATGATATTTCTACTGCCAGAAACTCAGTATACAAGATATACAATGGAAGCAACAACGTTAACGAGGTCATGGAAGGATGACTTGCGATTTTGGCCTGTCAGCGGAGGAGGGCCACCGAAGGAGCACAGGTCTGGTGGTATTCAAAAGCCTGAAGCAATGGGCTTGTTAGCTGATACCCATTATAGTGTCGCCCATGGACTCGCGACCATACTTCCATATTTTGGACACCCAGTCATCATTCTCAACACGGCATTCTTTTCTCTCACGCTGCTAGTCACGAGCTACACCCTGGTATTTCTCCTCCCGTCAGCTATGGCCCTCAAACCTAACAGCAGACAGACTACTCAATCCATCACCTACCTAGCGGTGTATCCGTTCTCAGTTGGTAATTCTGGCTTGACCTTCATCGCACCTTTGATCGGTACCTGGCTGGCAATGCTGTTCTGCGGCGTACTGGCAGATCGACTCTTCACTCGATTGACGCGGAAAGAAGGGCGAAAGCCAAAGCCGGAGCGCCGTCTGCCACTTCTCATCGTGACCGGAGTGGTTGGGATTGGCGGCTCGCTTCTTTTTGGCATTTGCACTCAGGAGAAATGCCATTGGGTTGCGCCCCTATTTGGGTCGTGCTTCGGTATGTGTCCGGCTTTCCGCCAAAGGCACTTTTCGGGACTTGCAACGCTGACAACCACTCTTATTTTAGTCAGCTTCTGCTTCATTTCATCCCTCAGCATCTCCTTCGCCTATCTACTCGACGTGTACGAAGCAAAAATGGATACGGTCATGGTCATCGACAATGGGATGAAGAATCTGGCAGCGTTCGGCATCAGCTACGCCATTGTGCCGTGGAATACAAGTGCTGGCTACACAATTCCGTTTGCTGTGATGGCCGTGATTCTCCTCGTTGCGCATCTGCTCATGGCGTTGGTCTACTTCAAGGGCGAGGAAATGAGAAAGTGGAGCGCTCAACATTTCGAGTCGGCGAGGACCACGCATCACGGAGATGCGTTCTGAGTGGCAGTAGAAGGACACAATCCCCACATACAAAGATAGGTATAGCGAGTAGCCACGAGAGAGAGTACTGTGCAAAGATCTTTGCGCATCGGTGTTTGGCATAGATGAACAGAGACGAATTCCCCTACACGTGGTCCGCTGAGCCCAAAAGGCGGCGAGATACAGAGGCATCCTCAGGGGAGTTGGCATGTTGTGTCTGACGAGTCAAATGACATCGATTCAAAGCGACATGGGAAAGCCCAGACATCTGCGTCCTTCGTCGTCCCCTTCCGCCGCTCAATGCAGAAATTTCCTGTCTCCGAGCTTCATAACCCCGGACCCAGACAAGAATTGACTTCCCCGTAACTTCCAGACTCCGCTCGGCGCTGCTAATCCTGGAGATAAAGGGCGGAAAGAGAGCGGAGAAAGTGGTTTCGGGTAACTGTCGGACAAGCGAGAACATCCGTGTCGCTGCCCACCATTTTTTTTTTCCGCGTCCCCCACAGCCCCCCAAATAGCCCACACCGAGGAACTATTCTTGGCAAAGGCAAGGCTGTGTGAGAGCAGGGCAGCTATTCCGGTGAGCCATCTTCGTGGGTCTTTTCAAGTTCCGCTGGCGATAAGAGGCCGGGCAGCGGGCAGGGACGTATATTTCGGCGTGTTTGCTGGTTCATGCCCCCTCTTCGCCCTTGCGTTCCAAAGTCTATCAGATCACAAACAACAAAAAGAAGCGAGAGTGGAAGATTGTGGGACCTACAATGTCAACAACAATACCCAAAACGCAGATCGCCGCATGGCTCGAAAAGCCCCAGCCTGGCGCTCGGCTACAGATCAGGAACGATATCGAGGTGCCATCTCCGAAAGAGGGTGAAGTCCTTGTGAAACTGGAATATTCCGGCTTCTGGTGAGCGGGCGGCAATGTCTCGTCTTTGGGCAAGAGCTGTGGAAGACTGACCTGGCTTTTTACAATTTCTCAAAGCCATTCCGATGTGCACAGCATATATGGCGAAACGCCGATGAGCACCGACATCGCTGGCCACGAAGGTGTAGGATATGTGATTCAGCGTGAGCGCCCTCCAGGTCCATCGCATCGTCGACGTTGACAATTTCCAGTGGGGCCCAATGTTCCGGAGGAGATGATGAATGCCAGGGTAGGCATCAAGTCAGTCCATCTCACGCTCTTTGCAAATCTCAATGCAACAGGACTCTGGCTGATTCGTGGACCTCGCCCGCGAAAAGATGGCTGTACAGTACATGCGACTCCTGTGAGATATGCGCCAATAATCCCACGGCATGTCCAAACCAGGTCAACTCTGGACGGGTAAGTCCTTTGTCAGCATGGGGATATAGCTGATGGCTCTGCCATTACTGACTTGGCTTGCTGGTAGAACACAAGGGGCACTTTCCAACGTAACAAATCATCTCACGCTTCCTTTAAAAGGTTCCCTAACTAACTCAGGGAAGAGTACATCGTTACTCCTGTGAAGCATGCCACTAGGATCCCGGCAGGGTTGAAGTCTGAAATTGCTGCTCCTTTGCTTTGTGGTAGGTTGGACTAGTCCATCTCCAGCCACCTCGTCTGACTTGCAACGAACAGCGGGTTTGACCATGTATTCTGCACTCGCGAAAGCAAGGCTGCGGCCAGGAGACTGGGTTGTATTACCCGGTGCGGGAGGAGGCTTAGGCCATCTGTAAGTCCTTGGTTATCTCGTGATCAAACTTGAGCACCCCGAGTAATCTTCAGCAGTGGCGTCCAGATAGCGGCTAAACGCGGCTATAAGGTGATTGCCGTCGACACCGGAGACTCAAAGAAGGAGATGTGCATGAAACTTGGAGCAACCGTTTTCCTCGATTTCAAGACTGACTCGGTGAGGATGCTTCTCCATGAATTCTAGAGGACTGTACTTATCACTGTGACAGATTGAAGGAGAAGTCAAGCGTCTGACGAACGGATTCGGAGCACATGCCGTCATCGTCACCGTTGGAAGCGACGCTGCATATGATCAGGCGTTGAAGCTGCTCCGCAATCTTGGGACCCTGGTGTGTATCGGGCTGCCCAGATCGGGATTGAGCTTGCCGATTTCGCCGTTCATGATGGTTGTGAGAAGTGAGTTCTTGACCGGCATTCCCGAATTCCAAAGCCCAATGGTCCAGCGTTCTAACGTATTGCGCAGGTCTTACTATAGTGGGATCTTCCGTTGGTACTGCCCAGGAGATGGATGAACTGCTAGAAATGGCGGTCAAGGGAGAGGTGAAGCCTGAAATCGCCGTGTTCGAATTTGACGAGATCAACAACATCATGGAGAAGCTTGCCCGGTTCGAGATTGGAGGCAGAGTGGTCCTTAGACTCCCTGAGTGAAGCAAAGCCGTCAAGCGAGCCTCAATTGTTATCAAAGCAGCACATGACCTCCTCCAACCAAAGCGGGTACAAACAAAGAAAAAATTATGTCCTATATCTCTTTGTTGTGCTCGATTCCTGTCACACAAAGACCCCCTTACCACGACAAGGGCGAATATCGAATCCGAACAGAACTACCGATTCCACATCATGCAATCCAGGTCCTGTCAGGTCAAACTAACTGCGGGTTAGCATGCATCAGGACCTTGATTCCGAATGATTCGAACTGCCCTCCTCCGACAACATAATCTAGGTCTTGTCAGGACAAACTAACAATAACGGGTTAGCAGGCAGCAAGACCCCGATTCGACCCCCGCACCGATCGGATTTCAACTGTATAGAACGTGTAGTATAACCGGCCTGGAAAAACCAACCCCGGGAGGGCGAGTTTCGCCTATCACTGACCAGGGGTTGACTGTTCTGTGCTAAGTTTTTGGGTTTTTATGCGAGACAGGAATTTTTTGTTTTTGGTATTTCTGTGTGTGTGCACGTACCTTTTCTCTCCAATCACTACTTAGTGCGAACACGCATCGTGGGATGCTTTGAAACTTCCCTTGTCACACGCAAATATATGTGCCTACTGGGAAAGCAGGGCGCAAGGCTGAGAATCGGGATGACCGTGAGCGCCAAGCCTTGGAAATCAATATAACTAGCCTCGCGTGCCTCGCATGCATCATCCGTCACACGCTAACGACCCCGTCATACTCGAATGGGCGGACAGATCGCATTTAGACTTTCACGCCGAGACAAGAACCTTTGGCAGAACAAACATCAAGGAGGCTTTGACAGGCCCAAGCCCGGCGCGTGTGTCGTTCAAGCAATACGAGACCCCTGGTGCTTGCAAGCCTCTCCAGGTCTAGCCTCGTCCCAATTCGATTTGCCCCCTGAACACAGCGTCGTCTTCTGATCTCGTCTGCCCTGCCGAGCCTGACCTTGACCTCCCCATGTGCCAGTCAAGCTTCTCCCGGCACTACTGGGTTTTCCCTTGTAACAGGATGAGCGCTATACGAGCTTCAGGGCCAGGTGTTTCGCTGCCAGAAATCCCGCCTGACCGTGGCGCCCTTGCTACAAAGTTCCAAACCTGTACCGGGTATGGAGCCCCCTAATTCTGCATCATGGAGGAGGCCGAGGAGGGGTCCGGAACCCGCCTTAGCGAGAGCACTGCTGTTGAGCCTCCCCCAGCCTTTCAGTGCTGTGATCTTCCCATAGCCCAGCTGGACTGCGCCAGACATCTCTCTGTCTTTTCATTGATGCTTCAGTCGTAAATCGCGGTCGAGGGAACTGACTTTGTACCATTGCGGGAGAAATACCGCTGCCTTGCTTCAGTTTACTTTTCCGATGGACCGGCATCTACTATACCTAGCATGGCTATGCTCTCTGCTTTTCCAATCCGTCGCGGTGGCACAAACGAACAATCCAAAGCCGCAGGAGATCTACACCCTCACGGCCTTCCAGGAGCAGCAGACATGCGTACAGTCGTGCTTCACGGTCGAATACGGCTGCACGACCGACGTCTTGGGGTCAGCGATCGGCTGCTCGATCGACCAATGCGTCTTTTCGACGAACATGTTCGGCGCATTGGACAGCTGCTATTGTCGCGGTGACCTGCAAGCTGCGGCCGAAAGTTTTCTCACGTCGTGCATCCAGGAGTCGTGCACCGTGGGCGATACGTCGGTGAACATTGCCGCCGCAGTGTCTATCTACGGCGGTTATTGCACATCGCTGGGATATACCGCTCTGCCTGCAAACAATGTGGCAGAGACGACGGCGGTCGGCAGCAATCCCACAACGGCGGGCTCGAACAACGGAGGCGGTGCGGCGTCAACAGGCTCGAACTCAGACGTCCTCTCGAGCAATCCCACAGGCGATAGCGCGTCCTCATCGTCTCCTTCAGGCTCGTCCTCATCCTCTTCTTCCTCATCCAACACCACAACGTACATCGTGCTGGGCGTGGTGGGCGGCTTCGCGCTGATCCTCCTAGTCGTGGCGACGCTGTGGTTCAAGAAATACAGACAGCTGAAGCGCGCACAGCGCTTCGGTCATGGACACTACGGCGCCCCGCCGCCCAACTACGGCTACAACAACGGGTCCATGAACCAGCCGCTGCGCCCGCTGGGCGGCGGCTCCGAGGTCTCTAGCCACCCATTCTACAACAGGCAGGACGACATCTACCCGGACGACTCGGTCTCGACCATCCACGTTGCACCCGCGTACCCGCACCCGCTGGAGCCGAGCCTGGTTTCTACGCACATGCGTTGACCAGACCCGGGAAAGGGAAAAAGGAAATCCCCCCCCCAACCAAAAAAAGGGAAACTGAACTCCGGAGTTGGATTTCCGCAACAACGAGATGAATGCGAATGACGAAACATCGAGGCTTTTCGTGTTGTCAGGGGGCTAGCTTGTTATGACCAAGGACAGACAGCCAAGGTGATTCGGCTCGGCGGGCAAGAGAGGCGCATGGGATGACATAAAAATGCAATTAAGCGGGGGGACAATGGATCTCGGGACAGCGATGCGTGGTGGGCTGTGGAGTTTCGCGGGCAGTGTAACAAAACGGGCGTTAGAAATGAAGTGTTTTTGCCTTTTTGTGGTAGCTCGGGCACGGAGTACTAGGGAGTATTGCGCAAAGCAGTGGTTTCCCGACGCCGGCATTGCCTTGACATAGATGCTGGACGGTCATGAATGAATACAAGTATATATCGGCTCCGAACGGATGAATCGTCACAAAGCAAAGAATGCAAAACGCAAAATCTTTGCCTGATGGCCAGCCCAAGCCAACCCTTACACCCGCGTTCCACGCGATAAAGCCTGGCTATATTCCCGCGCCATAACCTCGTACACAGCCATATCCATGTCTTCAAAACTCTGGAGTTCGCTCAGGGAGACCGAGATCTCTTCCAACGCTCGATCGCGCCTCGACAACAGCGCGTCGGCCGGCACGTTGCCAATTTCCGACATCAGGCAGACTTCTCTGGCGTGCACGCAGGACATGTAGAATCTCATTTGCGAGACGCGCTGGTCATTCTGCGACCTGATGGCGTGCTCCATGGCGAAGGTCCCGTGCTTTTCGGCCTCGCGCACGTACGCCATCCGCTCGTTCTCCGTGAAGGCGAGCAGATGGCTGAGTCTCAAGGAGGTGGACATTAGCTTTTGGTAGATTCGGGCAAACTCCTTGGCCTTGGGCAGCGGGTTCTGCGAGTTCATCCCCCTCAGAGCACGGGTGAAGTCTTCTTGCGCGCTGAGGAGATCCTCCTTGCCGACAGTGCTGGGGGCTTTTCGTCGATTGGCGTCGCCTCTCTCGACCAGTTCCGCTACACCTAGTCAGTTTTCACTTGAGACATATGTGAGTCGGTGGAGGGGGTGGTTATCACGAACATATTTCGCTCGTGGTGCCCAGCATTTTTGGACGATCTCGGTCTCGTTGCTCGGCCTTCTCCCGCTGTTCTTCAAGCTTCGTCTGCTCAAGGCAAAACGCTCGATCCGGCTCAACTAGGGAAGAAGATCAGCTCCATGCTTTGGACACCCCCAATCGCTACTCACATACATCGTTTTTGTCTCAGATTCTGGACGCATGCTCGCACCTTGCGCTTTACTCCATGGCCATCCATATAGAGTCGAGTCCCTGCGTCGATGACCGCCTGTTGCTTATACTCAGCCAGGCGTACACTGTGCAGGCCTTCCTCGACATTGAAACGGAAATAGCGGGTGTCCAGATGCTCTCTCCATCTGCCGGTGAATTCATTGTCCGCCTTTTTGGTTTCGGTGGCGACTTTCTCAATACTATGTGCCACAGACCTCAGTGAGCTGTTCTTGATGGTCGTGAAATCTGCATGGCCCGTGCCGATGGAAATGAAGCACTTCACAATCGGCTGTAGTCGACCTGTTTCCTCGCACCAGATGTCCGCCGCCTCTTCTTCGACCTGATTCACTGGGTTGTTGGCGCCAAGGGCACCATCGACGTAGCTGCATGCACCGATCTGCACCGGGTCGAAGAAAGACGGTGCAGCCGAAGTGGCAAGAGCCGCTTCCCAGATCTTGGGGTTGTCTTCCTCCTGCCTCCCTTGGACGTTATAGCTCTTCAGCCGTCTGATGTGATTTCCCTCCTGGGATTTGGCACAGACGAAGCTGATCACGACATTAGTTCTGAGACAGAAACTCGAAGGAGTGATTGAATGCTCACACTTTGCACTTTCCAGTGGCTTCTGGATTTGCCTCATCCAAGAGCAGGTCGTCTTCCTTAAATCCTTTGCTCCTTAAGACCTCTTTGATCGCCGTCTCAAGCGTCTTCGAAGAAAATCTGGCTTTTACGTTGCCCGTGATAGACACAAAGAACGCGCTCCTCTTGTTCTTGAAGACCTTTTTCATCATTGCTGCATATGCTTTGATACATTCGTCCACATCCATTTCAAGTCGCCCTAGCATTATGGCGATGATTCTGCGAGACCGAGTTAGCTTCGATGGTGTGTAAAACTTCCTGGACTCCAATTCAAATCCTCACCCTCCAGTGCTGGTACCACCAATGAGATCAAATATGTCGCAAGGTTTCACTCTTGCCAGTCCCACAGCTTGTCGCTCGAAATTCAGCCTTGTCATGAGCCCCTTTAGAATGAACAGGCTCGACAACCCTCTAACCCCGCCGCCATCGAGAGAAAGAAGGCAGAGACCGGTCGTGTCAAGGTCCCTGGTCTCCTCTTTGCTGGCGACCTCGGAGGCTGGGTGTGATGCTAGCGCCATGGGTAGGATCAATGAGAACAAGAAATCAAGAGAATCAGCATAACAACCGGTAATGAGACTCTTGTACTGTAATAATAATGAATGTCGGTGACAGCTTTTCCTGGTACCAGCTGCCAAGCCGTGGCGAGGTGGTGAGTCCTTGCCGAGGGCATCTCAGGGGCTCATTCATCCTGGAAGCGCTCGGTGCAGCCTTGACCGCAATGAGGCTGAATCCCAGTGGACCAATC